AGGGTGGGGTGGGGGCCTAGGCTGTTGAAGACAGGCAGGGCTAGATGCTTCTCTACCAGAACAGGCATGGCAAAGGCCCGAAATGCAGATTCGCCATGGGAAAGAATGAGACAGGAAATTGCTGTAGAAAACTGGGTCTTTGGACCTCAAGATCTGTTCAAGCTCCAGCTCTTAGGCTTATGAATTGTGTGAGCTGAAGCCCATCACTCACCAACCTCCCTGAGTGCTACATTCTCACCTGTAAAGTGGGGGAGCAATAGCACCCACAGTTGCCATGAGTATTAAAGGAGATAATTTAGGACAGCTTTCAGGACAGTGTTTGGAGAATTATAAGGGCTCAATGAATACCAGCTATGGTCATTCTATCAGCACAGCGATGTGTACTGTGAAAAACCCCAGGCTGTTAAACAAACCACTGAAAACCTCTCTGCTCTGAGGGCGACACTGGATTGAGGTTGTGTTCTGCATTTTCTATTGCTTTTAGCCAGATCCCTGCTCTCACTCCCCCCATTCCCCGTCTCTTGAGAAAGGTCTTAAGTATCCCAGGCTGGCCCTAAACTATGAAGCTAAGGATGACCTTGAACTTCTGATTCTCTTGCCTTCACCTCCCGAGTACTGGAATTGCCAGTCCATGGCACACGCCCACAGCTTTGTCCACGCTAGGCAAGGTCTCCACAGCGGAGCCATGTCGCCAGCCCTCTTACCTGTGTCTATCAACAGCACTGTTGTCTTGTGACAAGAGCAGTCTTTACATTTTTTTTAGAATTTCATGTATAAGTGCCACATTTGCATTATTCCCAACCCTCCCTATCCCCGCTCCAACTCCTCCCTCCTACAGTTTCCTCCTACTCCCTTCTCAAATTCACGTTCACTCTCTCTGCTTTAGGTGTTGGTGGTGTGTGGGGTGTGTGTGTGTGTGTGTGTGTAACCTCCTAATGCTCATATGTACATGTGTGTAGGGACGACCACCTGAGAACTGGATGACCTGTCAGGAGGCTCCCTGGGGGAGACTGGTTCTCCTTTCTAAGCAGCCGTTGAATGCCTGTGGCTCACCTAGGGTGGAGCCTTGTGAAGCTCTCCCATCACATCAGCATGTCAACTGGAGTTGCCGCTCTGAAGGTCTTGTTTAGGCAACCGTATTGTTGCGTCTTCACAGGCCGTGTCTAACAAAAACCATGTGATACAGTCCCTGTTCTCCAAAGGCTTCCAGTCTAACTGGAGAAAACATGAAGAGGGATTAAAAATGATGCAAAATGACAGTGCTCAAGACAGACTCTATAGCTGATTATTAATGTGGACAGCAGAGAGCATATGTCTCAAAATAATATTCCAACATAAATGTCCAGGAGGAAAAGAATAGACACCTTGGCGCTGGCTGGCCCCTTCCAGAGGACAGGGATGGCAAAACCCCAGGTTAGAAGGAACAGTAATAGGCAACTCTGTCATGGCATTTTCTGTGTACCATTTACTATTCACTCGGCTTAAAATATAGGGCTTTCATTTGAATCCCTACAATAGCCTGCAGTATGCTGATGATTCTGTTTATTTTATTTTATTTATTTTTTTGAGACAAGGTTTCTCTGTGTAGCTTTGCACCTTTCCTGGATCTTGCTCTGTAGCCCAGGCTGGCCTCGAACTCACAGAGATCCACCTGCCTCTGCCTCCTGAGTACTGGGATTAAAGATGTGCACCACCACCACCCAGCACTTCTGTTTAATTTTGCCTCCTGTGATTATGTCTTATTCACAGGTGTTTTTCAGGCCCTTCCTAGCACAGAGCTCTTTATTTCCACTTGCGTTCAGTATTCCAGCATACAGACATTCTTAACTGCAAAGTCAGTCATCCAAGAAGTTCTTTGTCTCTGCTACACCAAGCATTCCTCCAAGGGCAAAAGGGATTATGGTTCAAATCCTGAACGCAAATGAATGGTTGCAAGGTCTGATGTCCAGAGTGAGGCAGCAGCTACAGTCCTAACTTCGGAGTGGTCCTAGGTGCCTGAACGGCCAGCTGTGCGGGTGGGCACAGCGGTAAGTCTAGCACATGACCCAGCTCCTAAACTTTCCATACAGTTTCTTCCTTCCACCTTCTGCATCTCAGAGACATACTGGCCATCCGCAGCAAGATAAGTATTTGACAGTGAAACAGAGGTCTCGGCAAGATGCTTTCACTGGGGGGAAGTGTAAACTGCAGCATGCCTGGACTCAGCTGTGAAGATTTTACCTACATTGTTTTATTGTTAATAAAAACTCAGAAGTTAGATGTTAGGATGCAAACCCCAAAGATCAAGAAGGCAGCAGACATGTAGCTAGAGAGTTTCTCTCCAGCTCCAGCCAATCCCCAGCAGTCCCGTAGCCCACTTATAAAATAAACACATAGGCTCTTATATTATTTAAACTGTTTGGCCTAATGGCTCAGGCTTCTTGCTATCTAGTTCTTATACATTAAATTAATCCATATCTATTAATCTATACCTTGCCACGTGGCTTGTGGCTTACCAGTATCTTACATGTTCGTACTCATGACGGCAGCTGGAAGGATCTCCTGACTCAGCCTTCCTGTTCCCAGAATTCTCCTCTCTCTTTGTCCTGCCTATACTTCCTGCCTGGCTACTGGCCAAGCAGCACTTTATTTATTAGCCAATCAGAACAACACATTCACAGCATAGAGACCATCCCACAGCAGAGACATGACTAGCTGATCCTCTTTCTCCATTTTCCCAGACTGAAAAGACCACGAATCTCTAAGCCCCTCCTTATCTTTTCCTGTACCTATCTACCTGACCCTCCAAAATCTCTATGGCTAATTCTGGTCGGTTAGTTGTGGTGATTTAAAGTTTAACTTTATTAACAGTGTTGGAGTGTCACTGTACAGTCAAATATCCCACCACACAGAGGGTGGAAGTGGTTCTCATCCAAGCCTGACATCCTGAGTTCAATCCCAGAACCTACAGTGGGAGGGAAGACCTGACGATAGCTAAAGGCTGTCCTCTGACCTCCACGTATGCACCGTGGCACACACATGGCCCCTCCCTGCATATCATACACACACACTATAACAATAAACAGAAACTAAAAAAATTAAAAGCTGTATTTAGTTGACATGGCACATGGAACCTACTCCTCGGAGATGCATTAAGCTCTCTTCTGCTCCCTGTCTGTGTACTGCTTCCCCTTCAGGACTGTTATTTGGGCACAAATTAAGTTTTGCCTTCAGGGACATATTCACTCTTAACACCGATACTACAGCCCCAATACAGAAACGAAGACCTTGAGCTCAGAGTGCTTAAGTTATTCACTCCAAGTTGCTCACACAGCCAGCAAGAGGCAAAGCCTGAGTTCACACATAGGTGCTGTGCATCAGAACTCACGTTTCTCCCTCCCAGCCAGACTTTAGTTTCTGAAACATAACTATTAAGAACACAGTCTGACGTTGGTAAGATCTTACTGTGTGTCAGCTCTGCCAACCATTCTCTTTGATATAGTACTAAATACACAGCAAGGAATGGGAAGCCTTTGAGATTCTTCAACCTCTTCTTCCTGTAGTTGAAACAGGAGGGAAATATTATAATTGAATGATAGAAGCCTCAAGGGCGCAGATTACCAACTGAATGACCATCTTTTAAGTTCTGTCCTTTGCATTTGTGGGTCCAGAGATGTGACCCCCTTGACCCTTCGCTCAACACTGCCTCTTCCTTTGCTCTAGGCAGACTGCAGGAATAAATGGCCATACCACTTTCCTATCACCTGATAGAACACTGAGTATCAATGGCCTCCCGGTTACTGCTGCTCACCTCGGACAACTGAATACACATATATCTGGGGGAGTTCCCAGGATCGGCACCTGTGCCATTACCCACAGAAGCAGTTTGCTAAGCATGCAGCAACCACATAAAACTGCACACATCTACCCAGAGAGCCATCATGGACTCCTTATAACCAGAGTCCAGGGTTTCTGTACAGGCTTGCCTTGAAACTGGAGTTGCTTAAATTCATGATTATTTCAGAGGAGCTTGTTTTCAAGGTGTAGCCCATGAACTCAGAGGCAGGCATGAACTCTTTTCCATTTACCAGGTTGGTTTTGAAAATCCAAGCTCCTCAAGCCTGAAGTGTGATGTGTGTTTTGTAAGCCACTATCTACTTCATCAGGACTCCACTGCTGCCTGGGGACAGAGTCACAATCTCTGTGTGCACTCCCAAAGACTCTGGCTCCCCAGTTGGCAGCAAAGATCATCAGCTTCAAAACTGGGCATGTTAAGGCATTTAGACATGTCATTCTGCAGCTCTAAGAACAGACAAAGGGTAGTTTATGCCAAAGAAGGATGGTGGGGAAACTGTGAACACCCAAAGTTCTCTCCATCACAGCCACGCCCATCTGCTTCTATCCTCAGCAAATCTACCAGCCCCCATTAATATCTGTTTCCCCTGGGATGAGAACCACTATGGGATGTCCCCTCGACGAAGGCTCGCGGGTTTCAGTATACAGGAGAGAAGCCAGAGGGGAAGGACTTACAGAGAGGCTGAGACAGCTAGACAGAAGACAGAAGATGAGCAGAAGAGGAGAGGCCAGCACACACACACACACACACACACACACACACACACACACACACACACTTCTTTCTGGAGTTATTAGAAGACCCAGGGTGTGCTCGTGAACAAGTCTTGCATTACTCCTCACCTTCTACCATTAGAAATACCTTCTGTATGGATTCTGCTGCAAAGTCACCTCTAACACCCCCTGTCACTGTCTCATCGCTAACATTGATCTCCCCACCATTGCCAGAAATGACCCACCCTATCACTCTCGGCACTCATTTCCAGAGGACCTGACTAAACCTTCTGATGCTAGGTCAGAGAGCAAGTGAGACCCATGTCACACATGCCACATGAACATCGCCTGTCCTCTGTGGCTGTTCCACACCCCTGAAAGAAGACTGGCCTCCACACCTCTACCCTTTATTCCAGGTCAGGTAGAACTCAGGAGTGTTTCTCATGACTCACCCATCTGTCCTTTCATACACATCTGAATGAGTGTGTCTGCTGTTTCACTAAATGGCCATAACAATGGCACATGATGGGTGACATAAGTTGTCCCTTACAACCCTGGTGTTTCTCTGAGATACACCATCCTGAACCAGAATGGAACAGCTTAAGAGGATCCAGCTGCAGCTCTGTTTCTAGCCCCCTCCCATCTTACAAGATCTCTCATGTTCTGAGAATTCTCTCCTCCAAATGAGCTCACAATGAGCTTGACACCCTTCCTATCGCCAGCTTTATACAGCCTCGAACACAACGTAGAGGAGTATGAACCAGAAGAAGTCTAGAAGGGACCCTTGCTTAGCAACCATCTTTTCTGGATATTTTGATGGTGTCTTTTGAGACAGGGTTTCTCTGTATAGCTTTGGCTGTCCTGGAACTCTCTCTGTAGACCAGGCTGGCCTTGAACTCACAGAGATCCACCTGCCTCTGCCTCCCAAGTGCTGGGATTAAAGGCATGCACCACCACCACCCGGCAGCATCCATCTCACTAATGATGTCTCTATCTCTCATCTCACATCAGTAAAGCCCCTAGTAGCTGTCAAAGTTGCCAGCAGTCACAGTGTCATCCACAGGGAAGTCATTGTAGCTAGATTTTCCTGCCTTGCCCACAGTCAGGACAAATCTCTGTGACCCACCAGTCCCACAGCCGCTCAGACCCAACCAAGTAAACACAGAGACTTATATTGCTTACAAACTGTATGGCCGTGGCAGGCTTCTTGCTAACTGTTCTTATAGCTTAAATTAACCCATTTTTATAAATCTATACCTTGCCATGTGGCTGGTGGCTTACCGGCATCTTTATAGGCTGCTTCTCCTGGTGGTGGCTGCAGTGTCTCCTCCTTCTTCCTGTTTCCCCAATTCTCCTCTCTCCTTGTCCCGCCTATACTTCCTGTCTGGTCACTGGCCATCAGTGTTTTATTTATATAGAATGATATTCACAGCAAGTCATGTCAGAGTAGCATGACCCTTTGGTCTCAGGCAATAAACACCTAAGGTCTCTGAATACAGGAGGGAATTTGTTAGACCCCATGACCAAATAACCCAGGTGGTAGGTACTCAGAAGTCAGTCTTCCTCCTTTTCTCTCTCTGTATCTTCTGCTTGCTTTCATGTTGGCTTCATCCCAAAGACTCCCTCCTTAGGGTAACAAAATGGAAGAAGGAGAACACAGGTCCTCAGAGCTCGCTTCCAAGACCCTCTGTGGATACCCACATCTGCAGATGCTGCAGGCCCATGTGTAATATGACACAGTATTCCTGTAGAACTGCCACCATAGCTTAGTCATGGAGGCTAAGGGCAGAAGCCCTGGACATGGGTGCCAGATAATGAGGCAATTCCATGGAGTTTATCTAATAATCAAAGGGGTTTATTTTGGGTTAACTCACAACAAGCATAAGGAAGTTGGTCTTGGGATCCAGAGATCAACATGGTCCAACACGGTTCTCTAGAGAACTCTGCCTTGATCCACAGCACCAGCATCACCACAGCACAGCAAGACCACAAGGTAGCCCCAAGAGTGAGCACATACGCATCCCAGGTCTTAAGGGGTCCCCCCTCAGCCATGTAGGGGGCAGGGAGGGAAGAAGACAGGTACCTAGCAGTTACCTGCTGCCTACTAGGGGCGGTACTTCAGGGATAAAGCACAGACAACCACTCCTACAAAGAACTCATGTCCATCATCCTATGTACTTCAGTAACCTCTAGATTATTTATAAGCTAACGTAATGTTAGTCTCTGTCAATGGCTATTGAATGGCTATTGTTTGGTGTAGGAAATAATGACATTTTCGGTAGACATAAAACTTTTCCCAAATATTTTTCAATGAGCATTTGGTTGAGTCTGCAGAAACAGAACAGCTGTATGAGAGTTCAATAGCCCAGGGTAAAATCCCCAGCAAGGGCTCTGAGTGCCTCCATTTCTGTAGCACACTCATTCTTTGGATAACTGCCATGACCATGACTTTAGAACCTCTAGGTCATATGCATGTGTGGGGTACAGTGACCCTGATAGGCCTTTCTGCAGACGCAGCAATCCAAATCTGACCAAATTAGGAAAAGGCCCAATTTAATAGGTAAAGTGTCCCTGGGTGATTCCTCAGCCCTACAGAAGAACCATGTGTCTGTATTCTGAGACGCAGCTTAAATACCCTGTGGGAGTGGTCTTGAACCTCTCGGGGGAGGAGCTGTGTTTGGCGGCCTTTGAAGGGGTGGGGTTTAGGGAAAGAGATGGGGGAGAGGAGCTGACGTGGATCTTCCACCACAACACTGGAAAAGGAAGCACATTAAAGACAGAGGATGACACCAACCAACCTGCCAACCAGGAGGGGGAAGTCCTTAAGAACTAACTCAACACTGTTCAAAGAAGAACAGGCAACTAAGTAAAACAGGGAACAAGAGAAGTGGTCCTTTCCAGGGAAGAGCACGTCAATTGGTTGTCCAGTGCCAAACGGTCAGTCCTGAAAACATGCACACAAGTACATGAACTCAACTGGTTACATTTAGGAATATATATGTATATGAAAATGCATATATTCGTGCAATAATAATTAATGAAAAAAGAGGCCATGGATTTGAAGGAGAGAGGACAGGGGCCTGTGGCAGGATCTGGAGGAAGGAGAAAAAGGGAGAAATGTTGTAATTAAAGTACAATTTCAAAAATAAGCAAACACAAAGAGTCAGGATGTGCTAAAAGCAGGTGAAACATTGCATCCTGCAGGGAAGCTCTTTAAGCTCAGGAAGTAAACAACACAAAAGCTTCAGAAAGTCCCTGAAACTGATCATATTCACTAGACCTCTGCCTCCTCACACATGTATAAGCAGGAGGCAGTGCTGAGAGACAGACAAAAGAGACTCAGAACAGCCACTCTGCCTTAAAGAATCAGACACCAGCTGACCCATGGAGAAAGGTTAAGACGGTCTGCGATGCCTGCGAGAGACAGTCTCCAACCTGTCCAGGGACCCTCAAGTGGTGCAGTACACTTCAGGTTTCTAGATTTTGTGAGCTGTCTCCCATGCTGAGGTGGACTTTGGTGATGAAGCTGTTTTTTGAGTCATTTCTCCAAGTAATCCCTACCCCTTATTCCTGTAACTAACCCCAATGCAATTTACTGGGCTTTGGTGGTATCCTTACTGTGGTCTGTTGTCAAGTCCCTCTCTGGGATGAGTAGATATCCCAGATAACACATCTCCCCAGGAACAGTGTCACACATCACCCTGTGGATCTGCACTGGGATGGGATAGTTGGCCCCAGCCAAACTAAATGGAGTGTTTTCTATTCAAAGAGGAAGGTGCTGTCATCAAAATAATGGGGAAAAGAATGTCAAGAAAGCAGGAGAACACATTCCCAACTAGACTTTGTTCTAAGTCCTAATTTCTCCTGTCTTTTTTCAGGATCTTCAGCTGGTGGAGTAAACTAGATTTGTAACAACCAGACCTTGGCATTAAGAGCCAGAACCTATAAGGTCAAGAGAAGTGTGGCCTTGGATATTTCCCTTTCTTTATTTGGGACTCTGGTCTTCACTCATGAGTGGATCGGCCTGAATCATCATCCTTAACCATTCCCTTGATTTTGGTGAAGTTTCGAAACTTGATAACTGCTCTGAGACTCAGTTTCACAGAACATTAGAAGTATATTTCATGGCACCGTTCTAAGCATGCCCCGCTACACACAATTTAGCGGCTCAAGGCAATGCAGGATTCTCACAGGTGGAACTCCACTGAAGATGTGTTCCTCTAACTTGAAATCCACATACCACCTTTTTTTAGAGCCAATAAAATTTTTTCCTCTAGAGAGAAGTGTATACCCCTATACACACATTCCGTATATGCCCCTATACGCACACATTCCATAAACCTTTACAGTTTTCCACATTGGTCATTGTGCAACAGAGTCCTTCCTGGTTAACAAAATGGACTCAAATACTTTTCTTCTCTAAAAATATGATTTCCTGATTTTTTTCCTGTTGGAAAAGATATATCACAATTTCCCCTTTCAGCTTTTGTTTTTAAAAGAAAATGTTTATATGTATATGAGTATTTTGCCTATGTCTTATTTAGGTTTCTATTGCTGTGAAAAGACACCATGATCAAGGTAACTCTTCTAAAGGAAGACATTTAACTGGGGTCTGGCTTACAGTTTCAGAGGCTTGGTCCATTTACATCATGATGAGGAGCATGGCCCCACACAGGTAGGCATGGTGTGGGAGAAGTAGCCAAGAGCTTTACATTCTGATCTTCAGGCAGTAGAGAGAAAGACAGACAGACAGACAGACAGACAGACAGACAGGGTTTTTGAAACCTCAAAGCCCACCTCTAGTGACACACCTCTTCCCACAAGGCCACACCTCCTAATCCTTTCTGGACAGTCCATCAACTGGGACTAAGCACACAAACATACAAGCCTAACGGGCCAGTCTCATTGAAACCACCGAAACCTCTGTGTATGTCTGTGTACTACGTGTGGGCCTCGTACCTGCAGAGGCCGGAAGAGAGCATTGTGTCCTTGGAGTTGCAGATGGTTGTGAACTGCCATGTGGGTGTTGGGAATAGAACCTAGGTCCTTGAGGTGGGGTGGCTAGTGCTTTTAACCACAGAACAATCTCTGATAGTTTTTTTTTTTTTTCCAAATTACAAGCATAGTACTTACTCTTCACAGAGACTGAGGTGGCTAGGAGAAAATAAATACCTCACAGCAAGTGTTGGGGAGGGCTGGATCCCTCAGGTGAGTGCTGATGCAAAGTGCTGGGCCCACACAGCAAAGCAATCAGGCTTCTTGAATGTCAAACCCAGACTTACCAAATCCCCCTGAGGTATATGAAATTACGTCTGTCCACACTCACAGAACTTAAATACAAATATTCAGAGAAGCATTATTCTTAATAGCTGAAGAATGAAAAATACCCAAATACCCACTAATTGACAATGAGATAAATACAATGCCGTGCCTACACCATCAAAATAGTTTTGAGCCATAAAGGGAAAGGAAGCCGTGGCACAGGCTACATTACAGGTCAACTTTAAATGCAATATGTTAACAGAGAGAAATCATCCTTAAAGGCCAGCTAGAAGAATTGTCCAGGAGAGGAAAATCTATGGAAACAGGAAGTAGGTCCTGTAAGTCATGAGCTGGTTGGAAATGATAGCTAGGGAGTTACT